TCCTTTACTTGACCTAATTTTCAGACAGGACACACACCACACGTAGGTATCAGCACAGCAGGCCTAGTTCTTTATGTTGCCCACCTCTGCATACCAACCAGTTTCTTACAGGCCCTTGGTCACCTGCCAGAGGTTCTACTATAAAACAAATTGCTGAGAAGTGTCCCAAACACACAGTACATACTAAATAATTGTTAGCTACCACCCCCGCCCCCTCCAAAATTGGATTTACTTGATTCTGAGATGGAGCCCAGGCAGCAGTAATTCCTAAAGCTCCCCATTTTAGGGGATTGCAATGGCTGTGAACCCTGTGTAAGAGGATGAGCATGGGGGGAAGGGGGCTGGAGGCTGGAGGGAGCAGCTCGGTTAGAGTCAAAGGGCAGACCCCTTTCTAACACCCCAGGAGTATCAGAGTTCCTGTCAGGAAGCCAGGAATGACTTTGTTCTGGCAGGGTCCCAGATGCCTTCTCCTTCTCCTGCCAGCCACCATGTGCCCTCAGGCGAAACGTCCTCTGCTGTGGTGCCCACTGATTGGGAGCTTGAAAGGAGACAGGGCTATGAGTCTGGGCCTCACGGCCAGGGCAGCTCTGTCTGCCCGGTCAGTTTTTCCCTTGCTCAGCATTTACTGGCCAATCAGCAGATGGTGCAGAAAATGTGCAGCCCTGCCCCTAATCCAGCACCAAGTTCAGAACTGGCATGTGACTTCCAGAGAGCCCTGGCAGCTCCCTACTGTCTGCTTTTTGTTTTGCTCTAGAAAAGGGGCAAGGACAAAGGTCTCAGTGGGCCACACTGCCACTGTCACAGTTCTGGGGTAACATCAATGTTCCTGACTTTTGCGTCTTGCTGAACCACCCCGTTCTGATTCAACCACAAAGCCCAAGTGTCTGTCTGCAATGAAGCCAACTGCCTGAACTGGTTTGCAGATTCAAAAGCAGCATTTGGACAGATAATACACATTGCTCTCAGAATGGAAAATATGCTGAAGCACTGGACTTAACAAGAAGGTTCTGAATATAGACCCACTTTAAAATTATAATATCAGGGCGGCGCCTGTGGCTCAGTGAGTAAGGCGCTGGCCCCGGCCCCATATACCAAGGGTGGCAGGTTCAAACCTGGCCCTGGCCAAACTGCAACAAAAAAAGAGAAAAATAGCTTGGCGTTGTGGCAGGCGCCTGTAGTCCCAGCTACTCAGAAGGCTGAAGCCAGAGCACCCACTCCTGTCCCACTCTCTCCAGCCCATTTCCCTCCTCCTCCCTTCTCCCCCCAGAGTCAACTCCAGGAACAAGGCAAGTCCCTCCTCCCCCCAGGGTGGCCGAGAACGTGCTTCCCAGCCATGTTCCCAGGCCCCCTTCTTCCCCCTAGGGTTGCCAAGAACAAGCTTCAGGTACAAGGAAAAAAAGTCCCAAGTTTCACAAAACCCCCAAGTTCTCAGTAAATGAACAATGGTGGAAAACTCACTGAGACTTGATTAATTACTGTTGTATAAGCATAACCATTGTGATATGAAATGTGTCCATTGTCAACTGAAACTGTATTAATTATTGTTCCATTGCTGTATCTATGACTACCTGAGTTGTAACCCCCCTTAACCAGCCACGTTTCACTTCTGTAATATGCTTACACAAAGCCCATGAAAGGCAACTCACACTCTCACCAGGTGCTGACTGTCTCTTGGAGCAGCAGCCCCTGCAGCAGGTAAAATAAATTACCAATTAATTAACCTAAGTGGGGGTCCGAGTCTATTTTTCTAGGTCCCTTAAGTTATTTCAGGCACTCTACCGAGAGCGATAAAGTAAGACTCTGTCTCTAAAAATAAATAAAATTATAATATCAATGAAATATCACACATGCTATTTTTCAGCCAAAAGTGTTTCCTTCACATTTCAGTTAGTTGTTTCTATACGCCAGGGTGATTCTTTTCCTCATAAAGAGCCATTCAGTCTATGTATGCTAGTCTTCCTTTCAACCAACAGACCTTTTCCTTTAAGAGACTCTGTTGTAAGGAGTAAGATGCCTGCCTGCCTGGTGCCTGTGCCCTGAGGCAGCTCTTACCTTGCCCCCACCAGGTGACACAGATGGCACCGTCCCCTTAGGCAGAGTTCTAACGAAAACGGACATTTTAGTGCTGGGAGAGCTAAAGGAGCTCAGAGCGGCCAAGGATGATGGAACGCTGTTATTAAACCTTTGTGTAAGGCTTCCCCAAGCATTCGCAAAGTGCTTTACAATTACCCTACTCCTATTAAGTCAAACAGCACCAGCCATGCAGCAGCCAAGCCAATTCGCACGCTCTCCCAGGTCCCTTAATAATACGCCTTATGAAATGATTTTTGTGTGTCTGTAAAAAATGTCCCCGTAAACTTTAACGGCTTTTTCCTAGGGCCTCTTAGATGAGTTCAGACAGCCTAATCTCGGGCTGCAGCGACTGGAGGCGGGAGTCACCCCAGACAGTTTAGCAAAACGGAGCAATCAGTTAGTAAGTAGCAGTTCAGCCGCGATCCTCGGCTGGAGGTTCGAAATATCCCATCCAATCCAGGGCAGTCCCCACCCTGCAACGCTCAAGATAAGGCATTAACTGACCCAAACCCGGAGGCCAACATACAGATGACCTTCCCAGGCCAGGGCAGGAGGTGTCTGGAGATAGAGGGGAACTAGAGTTCAGGCCTCCCTGGAGGGCACACCCGCCCCTCCGAGAGCACTAATTCTGGTGTGTGCGGATGCTGCTGCTTGGTCCAGTTCAGGGAGGCGCCCAGTACCCACGTGAACAAGCAGTGGACCTTCCTGCTACTCTCCTTTGGGGGTGGGGGGGTTACCTAAGAGAAAGGCCCGCAGGTCGGACGCGACTCACACCAGACACCAGCGCCTTTTCCTCCACACTCTCAGGCTCCCCGGTCGCGACCAGCCCCTGCGGCTGCACCGCCCCACGCGGGCCGCCCGGCCAGGTGAGCGCCCGCCGGGGCCGCTTCCCGCGGCTCACCTGCGTGAAGTACAAGTTCATGAGCGTGAGCGTGAAGAACTGGAGGCACACCGGGAAGCAGTAGAGCAGCCAGAAGACGAAGGGGCTGAGCGAATTGGCCGCCACGAAGTCTTTGAAGTAGAAGGAAAAGAGGACGGTCCGCAGGGAGGCCCAGAAGAGGCAGAGAAAGAGGAAGACGCTCTGGTAGCTGAGGCGCTTGTGGCGGTAGCGCAGCACCAGCCAGAGCTGCACGTAGATGAAGACGAAGAGCAGCGCGTAGAACACGGTGTAGGCGACCGTGAGGCCGAGCTTCACGTACGGGGGCACGGCCGGGGTCAGCGTGGGCTGCAGCGAGTCGTTGCGGACCGGGTCCCACGGCGGGGCCTCCATCGGGCCCGGGGCGCTGCCGCGCGGCCGGGG